AGAGTTGTGGGGGGACAGAGCTTAAAAGCTGACAATCTGAACTAGAGAAGGATTGGAGGGTTGTAGCAGCACCACGCGCTGCAGCACCTTGCATGCACCCGGGTGTCCAGGCTGGTTCCAGCAGGCAGCCCGGCAAGGCCGGTGTGCGGGCACGGTGGCTGGAGGTGCATTTGCATCTCGCCGTGCCCAGACTGAGGAGTCCCGTTTGTAAGTCACCGAGACTACGGCGCTTCCCCCACCCACCCACCTGCCCAGAAGCCCTGGGAAGGGAAAGGGCAGACTGGGGACAGGAGCAGGTAATTTGATTGTGAATTGGGCAGCGTGATAAGGCTTGTCTTATCGCGACCCGGCGGCGAGGAGGTGATTTGACAGCAATTCAGGCAGCAACCCCTGTATTTCCTCGTTCTTTTATGATTTTGTTATCATGGGGAAGAGAGTCCTTTCTGATCTGCTTGATCTTTGTGATACGGTGGATACAAAAGTATTACAAAATGTGAGCATTAACATACACGTTTATTTTGTTTTGAACCTATCTTAGAAGTGCCAGAGGCATGCCTTTTTAGCAAGCAGGCAGTTGGCAAAAACCCTCTAGGTATCAGAGAGGCCATGTGCTATAATTTTTCTAGAATAATAGTGTCAAACAAATGACAATAGAAAGCCTGTGAAATTGGCAGCCAGCTGGGCAAATTCTCAGGTGTGACCCACAGAAATGGCAAGTGCCTGCGCAGAATATTTTGTCGGGATCGGAGCTGCACCAGCCTCTGCTGCCTTTCTTGCCGTAGCTCCAGCCCCGTGGATCGCCGGTCACAGTGGCTCTGTTAAGTGAAGGACTCAACCCCAAGGCTGAGGGCAGTGCTAAGCCTGCCTTGCACTGGGAGCTTTTGCCTGGGTAGTTAAACGCAGATCAATGATCCTTTTCAGCATTAATGGTAACAGGATATTATATGGCAATCCGCATCCACCTGAAATGATTATTAGTGCTTATTTTCAGATTCCACGAGGAGAAGAAAAAAAAGGAAGAAGAAGGTAGAGAGGGGTTCTGTGACCCGTGTCTCCTATGAGTTAGTTATTTTGTCCTTGAGTACTTGCCACTTCATATTCCCTTGTTTGGATAACAGTCTGAGTATTAAGCACAGCTGTAATTTTCTTTTTGTTAATGGTATTCCACTTCCTGTGGCTCTTGCTCAGTTTCAGCTAATCCCATCTCAAACAAAGTCTTGATGAGCCAAGAAGGAGCTGGACTGAATCGAGGACCAAATCATTGCCAAGTGTGGCTTTGGAGATGACCACAGTATTATAACTCCTTGTGTCATCTCATCGCAAGGCTGTAAAACTGTTTCAAAAAGGTATTGTTTAGCACTGCCCTTCAACGTTTTGATCTGTCACAAATCCTTTTCTCAGAGATAGGGAGGTAAAAATTGCTCTGTGCATGATTTAATGTAAGCCTTCTGGTGGTGATGTGATACTGTTCCTGGGGGCTGCCGGACTCCTTTATAAGAGCAAAACAAAAGTACTAAGTAAGTGTCCTTTATTCTGATAAAGAGACTCGGGGCTACTACCTAACTTATTTCGAGGTACTCTACACGTTATGCATGAGAGATCTCTAGGATGACACAATGAACCATCTCCACTAGGAGGTGGAGGGGCTCACCCCACCTCTTACCACCTGCAACATCCTCCTGGCCCAGAGCTGCAGCCCGCTGCACTGGGGCTGCATTTCCTTTATCAGCAGCAAAAAGGCCACTGGATTCGTTAGAGAAATCTAGCGATGACAAGTCAGATTATATCCAAACGAGACATGGGACAAGCAGGCCCATTCGGCTGTATCCCAGTGTGGTGAGGAGCTGGCCCAAAGCAGGCCCAAAGGTGGGGCCTCAGCACAGGGCCAGGGCAGAGCCTGGGTCTGGTGCCGGAGCCTCGTTAATCACCCAGCCCGCTTCTCTAACGATGCAGGGGATGTTTTGCTGCGAAAGGAAAACAACCCCTGCCCAGGATAATGTATTTACATGTGTACAGTGAGGCAACTAAAATAGGAAATGTTTAACTGCCACAAATAAGTCTATAATGAGAAGTTCTTAATTAATGCCTGATTATCTTGAAGCAGTAATGAATCTGTAGTTCATTTTTTGTTTATTGGAGTGAAAGTGATATATTTTGGAGATGATTAAAAGAAAGATGGTGCTTGCCTGACTCTTAAGGACACGGGATTTTCTATTCTTGGGTAACGTGGGTGTCGATTGAAGTACACTCTCATTCCCACTAGAGGGGGGTCCTCTCAGGCCAGGTTGTAATGCGTTTTGTGGTGGTTTGGGTTGTTTTTTTGGAAGTCAGCATGAGAAAAGTATCACACTGTCCCACATCTTGTGTCAGTACTTTACTCTATCACACTGTCCCACATCTTGTGTCAGTACTTTACTCTGTGTATCGTACAGTGTCAGCAGTTACTTGTCTCTTACTGGTCGCTGCTGCTTTTTACACAGAGGTGAAAACTGAACTGAGGGGACTAATACACGAATAAACACAGCAGCAACTAAGAATACAGAGGGTGTTTTATTGCATCATCCTCAACGAGAGACGAGTATTTTATCACGGCAGTGGTGTGATCACTCTTGGAAAAGCAGAAATCGCATTACCAGACCTGCTCAATAACAGTTTTAAATCAGGATTACCGTCCACACCGATAGCTGCACTCTGAACCATTTTGTTGTCCCTGTGAGCGTTTACATTTCTAAGCAAAAAAGAAAATATTTCTGCCTGTGAAAGAGACCACGGTGATGTATGTTATACCACCTTCAGCTTCTGGTTTGCTGTTTGATGTCCCCGTTTGTTCCTCCTCTCAGTTTCTTGGTGAAAAGGAGACCTGAGTCTTGCAGATGTGGTGCTTGTCACGTCACCTTCATGTGTGTGTTTCGAACCAAGGGCAGCCACAGACATCCTCTCACCACCAAGTGAATGGGTGCTCAATTATCAGTGCCACCTTCCCACAGAGCGCCAGTCCCCTCGTGGCGAGGTGGCCTCCCCAGAGAAGAAATAAAGCCTGGAGCCCCAGCAAAGATCTGGCTGATCTTTGCGGGGTTTTCGTGCCATCCATGTTGTGGCCATCAGCACTGCTGGGTACAGGAGGGCGTCCGAGAGGGAGCCGGTGGCACGGGTTCACGTTTTGGGGTCTGTGTGGTTATGGTAGCAAGATGTTTTACCAGAACAAACAGCCTGGTGAAAATGAACTCTCGTTTTGGATGGGTACCGCATTAACCCTAGCTGGGCTGCCTCTGATCCTGGAATTACTTGAGGGTCCGAATAGGGCACTGTATTCTGACAAGTAGTCATACTGCTATTTCCAATCCAGCGTCTGATTATTCTCTTTTTGGCCTTGGGCAAGTCACTTAACCCTCTGTCTGTTTCTTCATCTGTAAAATATATTATGGATATTTATCAGTCTCACCAGGACTGATTGTTTAATATTTATAAAGTGCCTAAAGGATTAGAAGCTTAATATAAGTAGCTAATACGTATCATTTCAGATTGATTTTATTTACTTGGATGTTTTTTTTCTACCTCCTATTGAATGAGATCCTCTTTTGTAGCCTCTTACTGCCATTCCTAATCAGCCGGACAGGTCACAATTGGGTAACTTCAGGTTCATTTTCTCCTTTTATTCTTCCTTCCTATAAATGCTTCATCTCCTCCTCCCTTTTTTAATTTAGAGATGAAGGGATACCATATGTTGCTAGATCATGACATAAATATATTTAAGTGCTGCCATCATTGTTAGTTTATCAGCCTTTCCATTATAAACCCTCTTGTTCAGGGGTTTATAACTCTGGCATTATAATGTGCTTCAGGCTGAAACTTGACATTCATTTTTTCCCTCTTGATTTGCTTTAAATCCTTCACTCTTCTTAAGTTAAACTGGAACTGGAGATTAGATACATTAGTTATAGTTATACTAGTTGTATAAATTATAATGCAGCAGTAGGCATTTTAAATAGGATGTAAATCAGAGAAATAGAGAATTTCCTAGTTGTTAAACTATGAGCCTGGGAGTAGAAATGTGGGATTCTTTTCCTGAGCGCGTCCCTTGTTTGGCACATGACTGCTAAGAAATTATTTAACCTCTTTCTGCCTCACTCTTCTTGCTGTATATTGGGATTATGACATTTCCTACCTCACCGGTGTATTGAGAAGCTTAATTAATTAGAATTCATAAAAGCGTTGAGATTCTCAGGTGAAAGGTGCTGATGTGTGAAGTATTTTTAAGGAGTCTAATGAAAAAGCCAGCGTGCCAGCCTTTCTGTGCCTGTTGTCCTGGATTAACGCGGAGCAGCTCCCGGAGCGGTGGGGTACGCGGCGAGCAGCAAGGCGCTGGATTTGGGGCACCGCCAGGCCACTTAACACCTTGTTTTCCTCAGCCTTTCTGGTCTGCACTGCATCTTGAGGCCTTGGCCTCTGCCTGGGCAGCCTTTCTGCCCTGAACTCCACAGATTTTAAAGGATTTGCTTAACTCCAGGCAGGACAGGGGCCTGTGAGTGAGGCCTGGGCAGCCGAGCTGTTCAGATGATGCTGCAGCACCCAGCCTCGCCAGATGATAACATGAGGGGAAGAGCTCAGGTGCTGCCAGCATTTTGTTTGAGGGGGAGACACCACAGCAGGAGATTCTGCTTGTGCTCGGGCAGCTTTTTGGCGTAGCTAAAACTCCCCATGGAGATCAGTGTTGCAGCTGCAGTGCAGCACATTTTGGGGCACCAACAGGTAGATGCTTTTTACAGCCTTTAGGCTGAGAAACGTGGTCTGTGTTGTGAGTTTCTGACTTTCCTCTTGTGAAGATTCCTTTTGTCAGCTGTCAGTTCACCATGTGCTACCGTATGCAGGCTTTCTGAGGGTCGGTCCAGGCTGGTGTCTTCATTTGGAGAAGCCTGCTTTGCCTGGGCTGTGGCGCTGTGCTCAGGAGAGGTGGTCGGTAGTGGCTACATTTCAAATGATCTTTCTCCTTATAATTTCAGGTTGAAGTCTTGGCCTCCGAGGATGCTACATTTGGACACAAGGTGTGTAGTTTGATGCAGTTTTGTTCTATAGGTCCCTTCTGTTTAAATTGTTGGATGTGATGGTACAGAAGACGACAATTTTCAGCCTGAGAATTGAGGATCCCTGTTAGTTACATCCACCAATTCAGAAACCTCCCCAAACGTGTGGTGTTCTGCAGAGGGCACACAGGCTGGCTGAGTCCTGTTATTCTGTGTAGAACATTTGAGCAAATCTTAATGTGGGGAAGCCCATGTGGAAGTACAGAACTTCACTTTTGTAGTAACTTTTAAGATTGGAGCTGCCTCCGTGCTGGGTTTGTTCTTGTTTCATAGATTTGCAGTTCAGAAATCCCAGTTGTTTCCTGCTTTGTAACAGTCTGTTGAGTAAGCCACTTTGTTCACGATCCTTTTTCACAGTGCATCGCAAATAGGAAGTATTACGTTGAGCAGCTGCATCACCCTGTGTTCAATTGTAGGTCAATGTATGGCATACAGTATGCATGGTGGAGAGACCATTTAGACCTGCTCTGCGGAATGGGTGGCAGTATCCTAGTTATTGCCTGAGTTTCTTTGGCCATCGAGCTTTACGGTGACAACCACAGTTTTAATTAAGCACTAATAGCAGATGATTTTAGGAAAAGGCAGATTGTGTGTAGGCTACATCTATTTAGCTCGGAAGAGAGTGGGGAGGGGAGGGGAAGGAGGAGATTGTAGAAACAGTAGGCTAAATCATGACAATGAAGAGTTTCCTGCTGCTGAAGGCCCCCTTGCTGTGATACTACTGCAGGTGAGAAAATAATAGTCTATTACTACCGAGGTAAAAAAAAAATAAAATCAAAAGATGAAACAAGTTTTCCAAGTTTATACAGAATTCAGTAAACAAAATTAACCCACAGAAAAAAAGCTTTAAAAGCATCTAAATATTCATGATGCCAGAATTTACAGTTGTGTCTGTATTGTACATTTTTATGTTGATACGTGATAAAGTGATTTAAATTATTAAAAAATGAACAGAGCTACTCCATTATTATTTGAAGTATTTAACATATGGTAGTCTGCAGTATCTTCTGTGTTTTTTTTTACTTAATACCCAGCATTCATACAGAATATTCATTGAATATTTAATAAACCTGGAGGGTCAGCTCTTGTGAACTCATCTCCATAATCCTTCAGACTATAGGTAGGTAAACAGAAATATTACTGCAGATTATTGTAGCCAGTCACTCGCACAACTAAAACACCGTGGAAGAGGCTTCTTGCTATTCAGTTTAGCAGTCATGTTGATGGACGCCATTTGAAGCTCCGTTTTATTACCTAAAGTTTCAGGAATTTTCTGTTGCTAAGCTTGAATTTAACAAAATCAAATCGGTACCTTTGCCAGCTCTTAACTTTATCTTCCAGAGTCCCAAGCAAATTGTAAGATTCGGCTTCAGAACCAAGAGGGTCTTGTTGCTCTCTCAAAGAAGTAGCCTTACATTATGTAGTAAACTAGACATGTCATGTACTTTTTCTCAATTGAGAAAAAAGGTAAATGTATCATTCCAAATTTGTTAATCTTGGAATCTATCTTGGCTGCCTACGTAGGCATCCTGTGAAAGCACTTTCTTTCCTCCTCTTCCTTGAGAAACACTTCCTCTACTGTCTGTTGCAATGACACACAAATGTTAGCATCTCTGTTTTGTTAGCTAATCAGTTGGTACAGTCATGGTAAGTACATCTAAGCACATTTTTAAAGCATATTTTTAAAAAATAAAAGTGGTGGTTTTTAGTTTATAACTCAGAAAATCAGTTTATATGGCAAATACCATGTAACATAGTTGAGGAGGATGTAAGGTTGTAGTTCACACAATTGTAATGCTTTCCTCAGTACACGTTTTTAGCCTGAATTTCCCTCCAGGTCTAATGCAGATTATTGGGGAGCTATCTTGATGTTTCGGGGCACAGCACGTGCTTCAGCTTCTAGCATTTTAAATCCCTTCTGTATGCGTAAGGAGAAGCATAATGTGTGGCAGAGGGTGACTCTGTTTCTGACTATATCCATTCTACCAACCCTTAAATGCTTATCGCTTAGTTTTAGGGTTGTTGACAGGCTGTGTTTCCTGTAGATACCAAATACTGTTTAAAAAAATAATAATTCTAAACTGCAGAAAGAACTTACAATGTTATCTGTTAGTCTTAAATTCTCCTTGTTTTTCATTTCATGGTAAATATGCATGCTGGCAGCGAGTGGGGCCGTTTCCCAGGAAAACACGCTGAATGAGACAGCACAACATTGTTCAGTCTCACCATAGTTATCATCTGGGAAGTGAGGATCTGGATGATGCAGTCTTTGGAGTCTTTGATGAGGAGGATAAGCACATGTAGAAATCAGCTGCAGAGGGTCTTTGATGTAGGATATGCATTTTGATCAGGCAAAAGATTTTTTTTTTATTTTAGCAAAGAAAATTAAAACAAAAGCTATTGTTTCACACTGTCAACAAACCCAGAGGAGAGGTACCTTGAAGTGCCAGAGCTTGTTTTTGCTCTGCAAGCACAGAACAGGTGCAACTCGCAGACCGCTGGTAATAAGTCCTTCAAAATGGTCCCTCCGCCTCACTGTTTTAATCAGAAAGCGGTCTTCCCAAAACAAAGATAAAATAGATGGAATTTAATGGAAAAAAATGATGGTTTTAATACCAACTTTTTTTTAAGTGTAAGCAGTTTAAATAAAAGGTGTCGTTTGAGTATGAAGACTCAAAAATTTGATAGTGTTACTGTCCAAACCTCTCCTTCGGTTGAATGGCAGGAAGCAAAAGCATTCAGCTTTCTTTGCAGCTAATTTTGCAGAAGGGGTAAGCTGTTAGTGTGCCGTAATAGCATTTTGGAAGATGGAACATGTGGCGTTCAGTTTTATTTATACACGCGTTTGTGTGTGCGTTTGTATGCATGGTTGTTCCTTAAAGGAAAAAAAAAATAATCCAGCTTTTGACTGATCTTTCAGCTTCAGTATTTAGAGTGGCTGTGATGTGCGTGGCTGTTTATGGAGAGACCTGGGGAAATGACCACGCAGCAGATCACAAGCGGGTGGTAGGTGACGTGGGACAGACCTAACAGGTGGGCATGGTTCATTCAGCTTCTGCCGAGTGCCAGCTTGCACACGCAGGAATTGTCTTTGAACCCGGGACTGCCGAGAAACTCAGGTAGAATAAGAGTGACCGGATGGAGCGGCGTCTGCCTGGGTCTGCAGTCAGCACGCAGGAATGTATTTAAAAGTTGGAAGCCCTTTCAGTCCCGTTAATCTTATTAGAGCCTAATGATGACATGTAAAATGCTAACAGTTCCGATTTATTTTGTGTTGGTTTTAGCTGGAATAGGAGGACAGATTTTAGCAGATGGGACCAGTGCTCCCAGATGGCGGAGAAAATTAGGAGGGATACAAAGATGTGAAAAAGAAAGGGAAAAAAGAATAAGGTGCACAGAGCAGAAATAAGAGGTAAAAGGTTTAACCATTGTGAATGACGCCAACACAAACACCAAGGCAATGGACAAATGAAAATACCCGTGTCTGAATTTCTTAAATCCTGAGATTTAGACGCTCAGTTCTCATCAGGACATTTTAATCCCTCAGTTAGAATGGAAAACCTGAGTCTGAGAGGTTGGTCGTGATGTAAAGATTTAATCCACACCTTGTAGGAGTCTCACGTTGGCATCAGTTGGCGTGGCAGTGCGGAAAGGAGGCGGCACATGCTCCAGGTGGGCTACAGTGTCCAGCCCTGCCTGGGGAAGGAGCTGCCGGGCTGTTTTCCAGTCAGTGCTTAGTTTCCTATCCTCTTCCCCTCCCTTTCCCCACAACTTTTGCGGCCAGCACCGACCTGACCCAAATCCGTCTGGGTAGCAGCGGCCTGGCCCAGCCTGGGAGGGCGATGCCGCCTCTCCCATGCATCCCGGCCTCTCGGCAGAGGTGCCAACCACCCTTGGGTGCTGCAGCCCTTTTGGCAGAGCCTGTGGCGTGGCGTGGCACTGCTGCAGGGCACCGTGCTGGTGGCAGACCTGTCGGGAGGCTCGGGGCGAGGGAAAGGGAGCCGCCGATGCTCCCGCAGCGGGGGAGCTCCAGCCAGAACAGGGCGCTTGTGTTTGGTCGCCGGCTCTAATCCGTCCATTGTGTGCGCTTTTAAGCTGCGTTGTGATGTAATTGGCTTAATCATTACTATTATGTTGCTGCGCACAAGTTGGGATTGTAATTTGACATATGGAAATCAACGGCGACTGGATTAGCGATTCGCAGGTGTCATTTAAAAGCAGGGGCAGGCGAGAAAGCCTTGCCTGTGTTGCAAGGGGGGTGTTGCTGCCGTGCGGAGGCACAATTATCTGCAGCACTGCGTCTGGCGCCGTCTTCACGTCGGAGCCAGCTTCACCTGGGCGCTGCTGGGGCCACGCTGCTGGGCTCCAGGAGCCCCGACCTCGCTCCCGATGGACGTGCTCGCTGGCGGAGGGATTTTATGGTTCCTTCGGAGAAGACAAGTCCAGGAGGAAAGATTTCTCTTCGACAGGGAAATCCGTGCCATGGAGCCACCGTTCTGCTAGAGAGACGCAGTGAGGGTGGCATTTCCGATGTGGCGGTGCCAGCACCGCGGGGCTGTGGGCACTGCTCGTGGAAGTGGCCGCGTTTTGGTTCTGTGACGCAGCAGAAAGCGGTGACCTCGCCTCCAAAATTTAATAACTCTGGAAGTTGTTGAGGGAGGCAGCTCCTAAGTCTTTTCAAATACCTGCGGCCGGGATGCATTTTTTCAGTGCTCCCTCTCCGACACAGGATATACAATTTTAAGAATGACGTGTGCTCAGGACTGAAACCTCTTTTTGGCTCCCAACCATGCTACTTTTACTCGAGTTCACTAAGCTTTTATTTTTATTTTTCTCTTTCCTCCACCTTGCAAACGGTGCTGTATTGCTACACTCAGCGCACCACGCTGCATCTCCTGTAGCCTGCTTATTCTCACAGCCCCAGCTACCAGAAGTTCAAATCTCGAGGGGAAATTCAGCTG